TGTTGTCTCTTCTCCCCCTTGGCTCACCATCTCTCCTTAAGCTGCCTGCTTTGGGCGTGATTCTTCTCCAGGCTGCCCTCAAATTCCATTTTAAGCTGGTTTCAGTTGGATAAAAATGCTGCAGGGGAAGGAGAGGTGCAGGGTGATTAACCTCAGTCAGGTCCTGGGGACCACCCTGCCCACAGCTCCAGGAGAGAGCTGAGAGACCCTCCCACACTGCCCTGTGGACCTCAGTCCCGGCTGCCCTCCCGAGCTGTGCTCTCACAGAGCCCGTGCCACCAGGCCCGCTCTGTACACGTGCTAAGACACTCAGCCTGCATCTAGTCCGGGGATGCCCAACCTTGGCTGGACATTGAAATACCGGAGGGGCTTTAAAAAATACTGCTGCCTGGCTCCCGCTCCAGAAAGTCTGATGGTCTGGGGTGGGTGCTGCCTGGACATTAGGAGTTGTAAAAGCTACAGGTGATTTCAAGAAACAGCCAGAGGATCACTGGTTTAGTGAAAGGAAATCAATTATGTACACAATGATGGCGTGCCAGCTATGCACCAGGCACTGTGTTCAATGTTTTACATCCATCATTTTATTTCATCCTCACAGCAATCCTGTGCAGTGGGTGATATGACACCCATTTTACAGATGAAGAAACTAAGGGATCATTGAGGTTAAGTAATGTGTCCAAAGCCACAGAGCAAGGAAGTGTTATGAGCCAGAATTTCAATCCACATTAGTCTGTCTCCAAAGCCTGAGTTCTTAGAAACCTGCCATCTCCCAATGGAGGGGACATGAAAGTGGTAACATTCACTCTTTCCTCCAGATCTGATGCCATCCCTTTTAACTTACAGCGTTTATCCTCTTTGCGGTGATCAAGTGCTTAAAAAATGCCATGGATCTGGAAATCCATCAGACTGCACCTAAGGGAGGCCTGGAGACCCACACGGTCTTTTCCAGTTCCAGCTCTAGCCTCTTAAGTCTATTTGTCACAAAAATGCCTCCTGTTTGTTTTGCTGGATGCCTCCTCTGGCGTCCTAAACGCAACATGACAAATGACAAATGTCCTGAGGGGTAGGGAGGTCCTTGGACTGATCATGTTGGAATGAATGACCACCCCGAAGAGACTTAATAAAATTCCCAGCATCCACTCTAAGCCAGGAGTGAAGTTCTCAGGAACTTAGGCTAAGAATCTTAATGGCAAGTTTTGTACTCGGCTGGCAGTGCTCCCCGGGAGGCAGTAGGATCAGGGAAAGAGGATGGACTTCAGGGTTGGACCACCTGGGAGCAGATCCAACTCCACTCCTTCCTAATCGTGACTTGGAGAAAGGTGCTTAAGCTCTTGAACCCCTCTTCGTGGATGAAATGGAGATTAAAATACCTAGCTAAGTGGGTTGTGAGGATTAAAGAGAGAATGTATATAAAGAACGTCTGGCACAAATTCAAGCACTCCATTGACAGTTGTTACTATCAGACATTGCCTTGCCATAAACCTGGCCAAATGCCTGTTTTTTCCTCTAAATTCTCTTGTGGTTTTTCAGCTATTAAACAACATATTTAATCACAAGTATGGATAATCCGTTATTTATTTTAGTAAAAATATTCTAATTTCATTACAGTGTCATTGTAAAATACTATAGTGTGATTTCCAATCTGGAGATCTGCATGTTTGTCCATAGGCATTTCTTATAAGACAAATTCCTAAGGCTGTATATTAAGATGTACTGGAAGGAGCCCCAGAAAAAAGAAAATGGTTGATGTTAGAATGTTGGAAATATTGGCAATTTGTTATTCATACTTAAAAAAAATCCATTTATTGTTGTAATATTTGTGCAGTACCTGAAATAAAAAACCAGTAGAGCCAAAGAGATAAGCAGTAAAAATGAAGATTTTTGGAAAAGCTACTATGTACGAGCATTATGCAGGCACATGCATATCTATGAAATCACTGAACTCCCCAAATAACCCTCTGAGACACATATTATACCCATTTTATGGGTCAGGAAATCGAAAGAAAGGCTACAAAACTTCCCTAAGAAAGATCACTCTGATAATAGACAGTGGATGAGGGATTTAAACGTAGGTCTGTGTGACTCGGGGACACATGCTCCTTCATCAGCTGTGTGCCCCTCAGAGAGCAGCTAATTCAAGTGGCTCAGAAAAGGCTGTGTCCTGCCTGGAGTCACATAGCTCATTAGCTGCAGAGCTAGGGGACTAGAACTCAAGTCTTCAGTCCTCAAAGTTACAGGTACTCAGGTATGTTCTTTCTTTGAGAAAAAGTGCCACCTTTAAACATTTTTTAAAAAGGAAAACACAAAATCCTCAAATAAATTTTACTGGATGATCTGGTTAGACATGCAATATTATCGGAAAATGCCTGGATAATAACATCAAGATCTGTTGCCCCCTCCCCTCTGAAAGCACTCTGGATGAGTGGATACAGTTTCCCAAGAGGCATCCGCATAAACATTAGCACCAGGAAGAGAAACACTAGGCACCGTCCTCCTCTGAAAGTGGATCAAATCGGTGACATGAGAAGGTGTGTCTGCTTAATGGGGTGGGTGGAGAACAAGACCAAAGATGACTCCGTGTCAAGTGAAAAACATCTTCATATAGAGCCAAACACATGCGGATGCCAGTAGAGCAATGCAAGTCACCTGCAGACGTCACCCGGCAGCTTGGCACCTGGCTCTGTGGAAAACACTAATTGGCTTCAAGGTGCAGTCGGACACCTGATTGGCTGGGGTGTAAAGGAAAATTTTAAATCCATTGTGCGGTAAGCGTGCAGCATGGAGCCTATCCAGCACATTCACCATGGAGCACGTGCTCGACGCTGGCTAACTCATACACCAGGCCCCAGAAAGAAAACTTAAAATAATGCAGTATTACCCAAGACAGATTGAAATGAATAGAAGATCTCCCAGCCACCTGCAAAATGGAGCAAAGATTCATGCCTGGAGCTAGAAATAAAAAATAGCAACTTCAAAGTCTGTGCTATTAGGCCGTGGGTGAGGCACTTCACCCATTTACAAAAGAGAAAGGTTCAACATTCTAGTGACTCTGAGCAAATGCAAATGGTTCCTGGATGAAAAATCAATGTTTTATTCCTCACAAAAATGTTAATAATGCCTTGAACAAACACCTCTCTTCAAGGCATCCAGAACATTCCATGCATTTCTCATTATTTCCCATTCCTTTCTCATTAGTCTCACCATCTCACTCTGTTGGCAGGAAGGTGGGTGGTATTCCAGGAGAAAACAAGGCCAGGCTGGTTGGGGAGCTGGGCTATGGACCAGAGCTCACGGATGGCCAGGCAGGAATCATGCCCCAGCGCCCGATGCTATGCGTGCTTCGCAGGCTGACGCAGGTCTAACCCGTGCAGGAGTGGAAAAAAGACCGAGAGTAGGAAAGAACAAAGGCAGCTGGGCTTATTAGGAGAGAGAAAAACTTCCACTGCCCTTTCGGATTTATAACTCCCAGACGGCAAAGACCTAAAGCTCTGTCTCAGGCTAAGTAGTCTTGAGAACAAGAAATGGTTGCTGTTGGGGGTTTGAAGGGGGACACAAAACCTAAAGTTAAGCAAAGTCAATTTCCTCATTGAATCTAGAAAGTCAGAACCCTTGTTGTAACCTCAACACTAAAAATACTTCAACGTTTTTTGATCAATTTATCCCCTAAAGCCAATTTATACTGCAGAATTCCAATGTGGCCAGTGAATGAGGCTCTGAACAATTATGGCCTGACCTGCTGACCTCCACTAACTAGGTGTTCGTGCCTCCAGATCTTTCCGGTCAGTTTAGACGGGTGACAAATTTGCCAGCCAGATTATTCTTCTTTCCCCAGGAGTAACTGTCAGCCAGACTTTGGGGGAAAACACCCTCCTCCCTTGATATTAGGAAATACAAGCGGCCCCCAGATCTGCTGGCACCAGAAACTTGACTCAGCCCTAAGGGAAGAAGCTGTAACAAGCTGAGAGCATTACTGAGCCGCACACCAGACCCCAGGAACTGCCCTGGAGGCGTTTTTGCTCTGTTAAAAATTCAATCCAAAAAAGAGGATGGTAACACATCAACATAAGCTAGTTGTCTTTGTATTTCTACATAGACTATATGTAGGGAATAGCTTCTTCACATATATTTTGAGCAAAAATTTAATAATTTCATCAGTTCGTGTTTTCAGGTTTTCTCAGATTTTCCCCTTCATTACATTTCTTAAAATTTAACATCCCACACACCATTCATATTCCTGCAGTTTTCATATCTTGGTAATATGTTCTCAATTATGTCTGTACAGAAAATTGATGTTCCTTACATAAATCCCCTCAACAGAGTCAAATATAACATATGTTCACCGTGTGATTCTGTGTATTCTTAATTCACCAGACTGCTGTGAAAACATATTCCTCCCATGACAAAACAGAATTCAAGCTTGTATTTTATGGTAGACAGACCTTTATGTTATGTTAGCCCAACACAATCAGTCCTCCTTCCCCATCACAGGATGGTGCCTCTTGACAACACGAGACCCTCCCAGGCCAGCCAAGTGACTGCGACATTCACTGTTCTCACTGAATGTCTCACTGGCCTTGGTAGATAACTAAGATGTGACCATTTCATGGGGCACGGTGTCGGGGTGGGGGGAAAGATGACAGGGTGAGAGAGCGGGACAGAGGGCACATCCATCTGTGCTCTTCTCTTAGGAGCTGGAAACTGAAGAGTGGCCTTATTCTTCACTTGCAGTAAGTATGGGATCCAGGCATTTGTGCAGACATATTCAATAATGTATTCTAGGGGTGACAGTTTGGTTGTGTCAGCATTTCTATTACCAATGCCTATGTTTAGAGTTCCTTATGCAGTCAAAAGTAGTGCAGGCCAAAAATTGATATGAAGATACCCGAGGCAAGAAATAAGTAAACAAACCAAGGACCCAGGCACTTTCTTTGATATTTGCATTAGAAGATAAATTCAAAAATCAATTTTAAAGTATTGTTGGGCTGATATCTATTTTTTTCCTTTGCTTATTTTGGTATGAAGGGTAAAAACCTAAGTTTCATTAATGGCTTCTAAGAAAATCCACGTCTATGATTTTGCTTTCTGAGAGTTGCCTTTAGAGGCAAACCAATCAATACTGTGTCCTGGGGGACCACTGGGCCAAGCATCTCATGAAGCAGGGAGGGCTACAAGGAATACAAGCAGTGCCTGCACGAGAGCTCAGCGTAGAATGAAGTTATCTAACACAGAAGGTTAGCGTCTTTTCTTCAAGAGCTGTACAAGGGAAAAAATTGAGTGTAAATTCAATTTTAGTGAGTCAGATTTAATTTTAACTGTGTTGGGAAAACTAGATAGATAAAAGTATCTTACAGTCTATCCTTTACAATTTTAAAGCAAAACACAACAGTATTTCTTTGTTTATATCCACATTTTCACATATTGGACTAAAAAAGACCTGTTTACAAGGGAAACAAAGCCCAAACAAGCAGATAGTATAAGTTGAGTACAAAACGGAATAGAATAGAATGCCAACTGAATACCTAAGCACGGAGAAGCTGACGAACAGGGCGTAAGTCAGATCCAAGTGGGGTTAATTAGGGAAGGTTGCATTTCTTTGTGTACATGCTGCTCTTTCTGCAACACTGCATGATACAACATTCCAGGACAGCTGAGAGAGGCAGACTATGCAAATATAGTCTGACATCGCACCACCAGAGGACAAATATTATTAGATAATTTCATCCTACTCCAGAGGCACGGAAGTCAAAATGTAAACAGTTCTAAAGTCAACTCTTTATTATCTACATTCATAGGAGGACAGAGCAAAGGCACTGATAATCCAAAAGAGTAGATAAATGGAAAGACCATGGAGTTGGCTTTGGAATGCATTTCTTTTTGAATATAGGTGTATCTAACTTTCAAGGAACTCACAAGTCTGCTATGAGGAATTAGAAACCTTTCCATCATTTGATTAGAGCAGCTGAAAGCATATAAAGTTAAGTGATAATCTCAAAGACACATTCTTAGATTGGTGACTAAAGTTCTATGGGTTCTACTAGACAACCCTATAACTGTGTACAATATAATTTTGGAACTTGGCATAAAAGCATGGCATGAACAAACAACCCAGTCCACAGTTGAGAATATTTGGAAGCAATTTTTGAAAATTCTACTGAGCACTGCAATTACCTTTCACATGCTGTAAGTTATCTCTTCTCGTTTCAGTTATCTCACTTTTTTTTTTGTTGAGGAAGATTCACCCTTAACTAACATCTGTCACCAACCTTCCTCTATTTTGTATGTGGGTCGCTGCCACAGCATGGCTGCTAATGAGTGGTATAGGTCCACGCCTGGGAACTGAACCTGGGCTGCCAAAGTGGAGTGCACTGAACTTAACCACTAGGCCACCTGGCTGGCCTCCACTTGTCTCACTTTTTAACCTTAATTTTTTCATTGCCTCTCTGCTCCTTTCAATAAATTCAGCCTTCTTATTCTCATGTTTATTATATTGAGCAATTTCTTTATTATATTGAGCAATTTCTTTATTTCTCTCCCAAGGTCTGCTGCTTCATTTCCATGAGCTGTCTTCTGAACCTTGCTCTAGATGTTCTCCTTGAAAGCTCTTGCCCATGAATGTTTCAAATAAAATCTCATCAAAGTTTCCTCCATCCCCACTCTAAGTCAGAGAAACCCACACTGCCAAACTCTACAACTGAACTTTTGCTATGTGGAGCTGGACGGATATCACAAGCTTCCAGGGCAGAATTCAAGACATTATTAAGTACTCCTTGCTCATAATGCCAAATGACAAGGATCCTTCCATAAACCTAGTTTTGCAATCTATAACCCAAGGTCACAACCATCAAAGAATGAGCAAGAGCCATGCAAACTCCTTCATTCTATGATTCCCACATATCTAGAATTAGTGCAATATAATCGAAAGGTAAAAAGCAAGGGTTTCAGGGGCTGGCCTGGTGGCGCAGCGGCTAAGTGTGTGCACTCCACTGCAGCAGCCCGCGGTCCATATGTTCGGATCCCGGGTGTGCACCAACGCACTGCTTGTCAAGCCATGCTGTGGCAGCATCCCATATAAAGCAGGGGAAGATGGGCACGGATGTTAGCCCAGGGCCAATCTTCCTCTGCAAAAAGAGGAGGATTGGCATGGATATTAGCTCAGGGATAATCTTCCTCACCAAAAAAAAAAAAAAAAAAGAGCAAGTGTTTCAGAGTCAAACCAAATTGGATTTGGATCCCAGTCCCATCACTTAGTAGCTATGTAATCTTGGCAAATTTCCTCAACTCCTCTTAGCCTTTGTTTCTTCATCTGTAAAATGGCGATAATAATAGTACCTATGTCTTAGGGGTGCTATGAAAATTGAGAGAGAATGTGTAGGATGCTCGGCACACGGTGCTCAACAAGTACTAGCTATTATTAGTAAAATACTTTGGATTTATGAAAACGAGCTGATTCTAATTTCCTGATCTTTAGCACTATAGCTTAGATATCAATACTGACCCAGTATCTCAACGTGATCTTCAGCTTGTCAAAATCTAACTTCCCCACTATTGATTTAATTTTCCAGTGGCGTTTTCTCCCTCTAAGTCAAGGTACTATTTTCAAACTTATGGCCAGCATCTAGCCTGATTGATCATATTCTGCCCATGTGAAATTAAACTCCCTCTTGATGTTGGAGATTGCATATCTGTATCTATATAATAGTCTGTTCAGACTTAAAATGTTGACCAGTGCTGCTAGGCACTGTTGAATAGAGCAGAGGGGGATAGGGTTATTACAGCAGGAAGAGAAACGAACAGTACTTAATGAACTTGCATTTCAATTGAGCAGGGTTTTTAGTAAAAAAAAAACTTTTTATAAATTCTTTTGCTCAGCAACAAAAAAAGGAAAAGAGCACTCAGCTGGGAACAGTAGCTAGTTAGCTCATAAAAATCATTAGAAGGAACATTTTGTCTACCATACCCAGCAATTTCACGGGGGCGGGTGGGAGGGGGGGCAATGATCCAAATCACTTAGAATCCACCTGAAAAATGAGTCCAGAGAACCTTTTCAACTTTACCAGCTAATAAATTATACTAACAAAAATTCTTATTTCCTAATGTGTTTAACTCCACCATAAAGTTTTGGCTCATAACTCATGGAACGTTTTTGACAAGATACTGATCTAGTGTTAATAGGATATGCTCTTTGGGTTGCCTTTCCATTAGGAGGGCGGCATGATGCTGACATTAAGTGCCATCAAATCCTCCTTGTAGCCAGGGGCCTTCATCCAGGAGTGACTGCTGGGCAAGGTGCAGAGTGCTTGTGGATGGTGTGGTTCTCACTGTGTGAAACAAGCTGGCCTACTTGGATATTCAACTTCTCACTGTAGCCTCTGTAGCTCATCCTGAGTGGGTTGAGTCAGAGAAACTTCATATTTTTGACATTAAGGGCCAGGCTGATTCATTTTCTCCCACAAATGTCAATAAACTACCATAAGCTAATTGCCAAATGTGGTGAAGACATGACATCAAAAGCTCTTTTCTGTGTTCAAGGTTCCTCATGACAACCAAAGGATTTCTGTACTTGGATGAAATATGTTATTTCTAATGACGCTGCTGGGTAATCATAAGCATGCCCAGTAACACAACCCTTAATATTTCTTAATTCAAAAGTATGAGGCAAAAAAAAAAGTTCTATGTTTAAGAATCTGTTTTTTTCTATTGAGTTTGAGCATACTACACATTTTAACAATGAACTTATTTTATATCTTTACCGCCTGACATAGTAAGTGTTCAATATTTGCTGAATGACTAAAATGCATCTCAAACCAAATAAAGGAAATGATTTGAAGACTAAATAAAACAATGTCTTCCACAATCAACATACATTTTCCTTACTAAACTCTCCACTTTTGACTTTTTGCTAGGGATTGGCACCATCAACTACAGTCTAAATGGCATTCTGTGCTCCCCTTTAATTAACTGTCCATTTGACTTACACCTTCTCTGGAATCTGGGAAGTAATTGTTTTGTTTTTAAAAGGTCTTTCCTGCTCCCTCAGACTGCATCTAAGATGTAAGAATAAACAGAAGCTGCAATCTCAACAAAGAACTTAATTAAGAAGAATATGCAATGACAGCAAATATGTAAAAGCAATCTTTATTGAAGGTAGGTAACCATTCAAGTAAGCTTTTACAGTTAATAAGGAGTTGAGGGTGGGCAGCTATTCAAAATCCAACTTTATAAGTACACTGCCATTTAGAGAATGACTACTGAATTAATATCTACCTAAAATAGGAGTTGTATCATCTGAAACTACTCCAGCTAGTTGTACTTCAGTTCTACATTCCTGAAACTTTTTTTAAAGCAATGTCAATGCTTTCACTGATTAGATTAAGGAGGGAAAAAAAAAAAAAAAAATCCAAATCCTGCCCTGCTGCATATTAAAGGTGACCACTAACTCTTTCGCAGTCCCCTATATCCTCTCCTTTTGAATCTAGGCAGGCTCTATGACTGTTGGAACAACGGCCAGTTTTCAGACTCAGGTTTGAGTTTGCAGCTTCCTCCTATCTCTCAGACCACTTTTTCTTGTGACACAGCCACCACGGTATGATGACACTCTAGGAGCCCTGTGGAGAAGCCTATGTAGAGAGGAACTGAGGCTCCTTGCCAGGCCCAGGTTAACCTCCCAGCCAACAGCTAGTCCTAACTTGCCAGCCACGTGAAGTGGCTCCTGCAGCCTCAGTTGATGCTGCATAGAATAGAGATGAGCTTCTCTACCACGTACTACCCAAACTGTAGATTCAACAGTAAAATAAATGATTATTGGAACACACCTCAAACCTTAATTCAAGGTATTCTAAAAGATTTAGAATTAATTAAATGGGGCAGTGAAAGAAGCAATAATTATAGTTTTTGAGCATCTGCTACATGACTAAATGCTTTACACACCCTTACTTGCTACAACAATCTTATTAGATAGGATTATTACTTTCTCTATTTTATAGACGAGGCAATTACAGACTTGCAGATTGTCTAAGATCACGTAACAGGAGGACGGTATTCAAAACCAGATCTGTCTGACTCTTGGGCACATGGTTGGCAGGAAAATGGGAACAAAGGAAATTCCAAGCTAATGCTGGGGACTCAAATTCTTATAAATACAGTATGGATTAGAAAATATGATAATTCAAAGGAATGTCCTGAGGGTGCCCAATATTGCTTAGCATAACTTTCAAAATTAGCGGTAACATTTTCTGAAGCATAGAATCCAGAAAACATTTTCTTAGTACTTACAACTCTACGATGTCTACTACGTGCAACAGCTCCATACTAAAGAGACGTTACAAGGATGAAAGAGACGATTAATGCTTTAAAGGTTCTTGCACTTTCGCAGGAGAAATAAGGCATGTTACACAAAGAGTTGTTTCACAAAGTACCAAGCTGTAAATACCGTGAGGAATAAAGTGCTATGAGAATTTATTCATTCATTCAACAAATATTTATTGGCTGCCAATGCAGCAGTGATGAGAGAGATATGGTTCTTGCTCTCAGAGGGCTGACAATTCATGACATTACTTCTGCTGGAAGCACCAGAAAAGGAAGGATACATTTCTGCTTGGCCTTGAACTATATCCCTAGGCTTTGGGCATGTGGAGATCTGGGAGTTAGGAGGGCATTCGAGGTACAGGGATAATAGTGAGTGGAAAAATGAAAAACACCAAAGCACAAGAAAATTAGGATAGGCATGGGGACTTTACAACAAGAACCACATTTTAGTGATTCTAAGATTCAATCATTTTTAAGTCAGGCCATTATTTTATATACCAAAAGAAAAAATACTTAACATTTATAGCAGTGGCTCTCAAACGGGTGATTTTGCCCTCCAAGGAACACCTGGCAATGTCTACAAACATTTTTAGTTGTCAGAACTGAATGGGTGCTACTGGCCTTTAGTAGGTACAAGCATGGATGTTGCTAATAATCCTACGATGCACAGAAGAGCTTCCCATACAGAGGAATTATTCAGCTCAATATGTCAATATTGCCAACACTGATACTCCCGAACGACAAGATGTCATAAATTGAAAGATGCATCTAGAATATTAAAAAAGTATTTTAAGATAAATGAAATACAGTAGTTTAGTTTACCCGAGATGAACCTAGGATTTGTAAAGGAGCACTGGAAAATAATGCTGGTACTCTGTATCTGAATCTGTTTTCTCACCTTTGGAATAAAGTGATGATGACCAGGGGCCGTTTTGAGAAAACAATTTAATGCAGTGTAAATTACAGGGCCAGCTGAAGACCATGTGTCCATGGGGGAAATTTGAGAAACTCTGCACTCTAATCACACTAATTAATATACCCTATTTCTGCTAATTCTGACTGATCTGAGGGGAAACAACTCTGACTCACCAATCATATGGTATATCTCTCACTGTTTTTCAAGCCCAGCTCTATGCTACTCATCTATGAAGCTCCCTCTGATGCTCTCAGTTTAAAATATTCTTTTCTTCTTTT